GAGAGCCTATTCTAAGTAGGCTGAAGTCCTCTCCTCTCCTCCCCTTCTGGAGTAGATTTGTACTGCACAGTGGATAATCTGCTTGGCTTATGGGGCAGATCCAGTGATGGAATCACCGAGTTCTTTCCAATGGGCACAGAACAAAAGAGGAGACAAAGTACCCTATGGGTTCGGGGACATCTTTCTTCAGTGGTACTGAAATCAAGACATTACCATTCAGATTATTACACATATGGAACCATCCACGTTCACAACCATAGTAGCAACAGTTATAGAACTGATTCAACTACTGATTAAGATATGTTTTTAATATAACCACACTGGGTAGCTTATAAGAACATTCTTCTATTTTATCCCTTATTCTGGATGTATTTAGCTGTTGATTTAATAAAAATATCCACAACTGCTCCTCAGCGTACAACCACAGCAACAAAAGCAATTGTGTTTGCTTTGTACGAATGTGAGCACTCACACTCGTCATCCCCAAATTTACCTTTAACATAATAAATGGCTACTTAATATGCACTCATCTAATCAGCATTTCCTCATTTATTTTTCATTGCTTTTTAGAAAAACATTTAAACTATAGTTACATTTAAAAAAAATAAGATAAATGGATTGTTCTTCGGAATGAAAACCGCATCTCATTGATTTTGGGCTACAGTAATAATAATAATGCATCATTTGCCCAGGCATTAAATGTATCACCTGAAGGAACACTGTGAATTTGTTTCCATTAGCCACTCAGAAAACAAACTGCCAAGAAAAACAGAGACTTTGGGAACAACCCTGGAGTTCCTATTCTTGAGGGTGATGGAAACCAGAAATCCTTGTGAGACCAGTTCTCTCTCTAAAAAAAATAGGCTATTAATATTACACAGCGTATGAGCACCACCACCCAGTAGCTAGCATATGTAAGAGCATTTGTTGTAAACAATTCAATAGCAAGGAACTAACACGCAGCCAGAAAGAAAACGGCTGATGTAAACAACAACCAAGAATGATTGAGGCAACAAATGGAAACATATAAATCAAACATTCAATTTCATATATTTATGTTTTCAGTTAAAAGGAAACAGAAAAGGTCTTATCACCATTACTAGGATGGATACTGAAATACAAAACCTTGGTTCTGGGAAGACAAATTCCAATGGCTGCCAATGGTTGAAGAAATGAGACAGACACAGATATTGCAAACCCATTTCATGATTATACTGTAAGTTCTAGATACAATACTGTCCATCCTGTGATTAATGGCATTCACTGGTAGGACAGCAGGAATGTGAAATTGCATTTATTCATAACTAAGACATAAAATGGTTAAATAAAAATTCATTCTCATGGAATCTTGAAATTTCACAACCAAATATATCAGTTTCTAGAAAAACCTGAGAGGTTGCTTAATTTTCTGGAAGGGAGGTGGCACATACAAAACTCCCCGCTCCCCAATTTCAAAACATCAGATTGATGAAAGGTTTAGGATAGGTAAGTACATCACAGAACTGGGAAATTCCTTTCTGGAAGATATAATGAGGGCTACCTATTTTTTCTTCTTGTGAATTTGAAGAAGGTTTACAAATCTCAGATTGAATCACATTTAAGCCAATGACTGTGCCTTGGATTCCATTTAAGAGCTCCTTAATTATCAAATGTCTAAGAGAGACCTTTCCAATTTCTTACATAAGCAACTGAAATATTCTTAAGAAATCATAGCTTTAGCTTTACCTAACTCGTTAGAAAGGTTGCTGAGAAATTGGTAATCTCTTTTCCTCTAAGTATTTTTTAATGAAATATTACAATATTGACAGATAGTCTGTGAACTCTTTAGAATTATCTGTAATCCTGCAGCACTATGATTAATAGAGCTTCATCTACATAGATAAAGAGATTCAGATTTTTAAAAAATCTGTACACAAAACTGTGCCATGTCTTTATTGAACACCAACATTCACTGCCTTTCTGCAAAAAGTATGTGAAGCCCTAGGATAATCAGTTGTCCTCAGGTTGTAAGTAATAAAAATTGGATGAAGTTCTGATCACATGAAAGATTACAGATCAATTTAAAACATTCACAAACATACCCTCACTACCGTAACAGAAGAAAGTGATTATCTTTTACCCAATAAAAAAACAGAAACATGTGACTTTCCAGCACAAAGCAAATGAACATACTGTGTGAAGAAGCCAAAATAAGGGAATTAATTTTCACAAGGAAATTAGAGTAATGTAAATGCAGATTCAAGAATTACAAAATTTGTTTCTGGAGATTGCAGCTATTCTGAACAGAACAATGACTTGCTAAAACTTGATGTGCAATATTCTAAGAAGTTTTTAAAGAAAAGTTATAAAGTTATAAATATACCATATTTTTTTCAGATCTATCTCCCCAAGTCAAGGAAAAGTAAATAGGATTGGTAAAGGGTATATAAATTTAATTCACAAGAGTGTTTCAAGTCTCTTTTAGAAAACTCAGCATTCTGTTTTCTTTTTGCTTTCACAGAGAAAAGAATCATTACCTTGCTTTTTTTAAAAAAAACCTTTTAGTTTATTTGCGATCTATGTATGCTGAACTTTATACATAACATAACTTCTTTACGCAATAACAAAGCTGTGTTTTAAGTAAAAGCTATGTTTTGGCCTCAGTTAATCATTTCTGAAATAATTTCTATTTGTTTAAGAGTCCAGGAGATACTATGCCTCAAATGGAAGATTTGCATTAAGAAATCTAAATATATCCAACCATCAATAAAGATTGGTCTAACTAAAACAGACTCCAATTGAGCTATCTGCTTGAACAAAGATCAATAGGCCACAGTGTGTATATGGCATGAAGAAAACTCTCAGGTTTCCCTGGAGCTCCAAATTATATGTAGTTTGGGACATGAAATTGTACCCTGTGCCACCTTTTGCAACAAACTGATTCTGTGCAACTGGCTTGGACTGATTGATTGACTATGTGCCATCAAGATGGTATCAACTCTTAGTGACCACATAGATAGATTTTCTCCAAGAAGATCTGTTTCCATATCTGTGGGGTTGTCTTGGCTTGGATTACACATCCTTATATTTATTTGGCTAAACATGCAAATATTTGCAACTTGGAAAACAACACAACTCCTACCTTCCAAGAACTTCACACCCAGGAGTGAAAGAGTGCTTAGACAAACCCTTGTAAAAGTACAGCTAATTTCCGAAAAAGTTTTCACTTCAATTAGCATGAAAAGTAATTCTGTCATTCTGACAAATGACTCCTGTTAATCTATAAAACGTCTGGTACTGCATTTGCTGCACCTTAAGTCTTGACTCCTGGCATGTGAACATACAAATCTTACTGCCAGCAGTGAATAGCTTCAAATATTTTTTTTATTACGTAAGGCAATTTGGAGTTTTGGTGAATATAATTATATATCCATCTATATCACCATTTACATGAGTTTTAGACAATGAAGCAGGACAGAAGGTTCAGCATGAAATGTTCACTGAATCCATATTTGGTATAACTGCTAAACACAATTATATAGGAGGTTGGACATTTATAATTAATTATTTTTCATTGTCAAAAGCTATCTTTCAAGAAAAAATTCTGAGTTTTAAATTGATGGAATGGTAACATTCTTAAATACTTGCAATCCTAAATGATTGAAATGATTAAATTGAAACTTAATGGGTTTTGAAATGTTAAGTATTTTCTTGTCTTTTTCTGCTGAGAACAGAACATTCATAATATCTTATTGGGTTTAGAAACAACAACAAATTCTCCAGACACATATTTTCTTTTGTTATTGTTTTAATTATATAAACATCAATCTCTTTAAGTTCCAATCATGGAAGTTTTAGATAATTGGTCATTCAGACCTAAGAACATGTGCTCAGTGATAGAACACTCTTGTCTGAAGGATTTCCTCCTGCATTTCAACAAACTGGGTAACTTAATAAAGGTTTTCTTTTGTACCCTTGGAATTGTGTGCTTTACTAAAGCTAAATGGCAGAGTCACCTGAGATGGTATAGCATACCATAATTAAAATGATATCTTAAATATTATTTTGGCATAATACCTAGTTTTAGTTTACCATCTAAAACAGAAGCAGAAATCACAGTCAGAGCAAGGGTACATAATCTGAGACCTCAGGACTACACGGACTTCCCCTTGAAGCCTTGGATATGGCTTCCACATGTTCTCTAAATGTTTCCACCAAGTAGATGTTGCTGATACCCACGGCACGGAGAAACACCTAGCTGACATGACTGATCTCAAGAAGGGTCTGATCTGGTTAGAGTCTAACTAGAAATCCTAGGGCTGCAGACCAGATAGGAAAATTGAAACAATATTCTGAAGGAAGACAATGGCAAACCATTTCCATATTTTTGACCAGAAAATTGAATGGATGTGTCCAAGAAGTCACTAAGAGTTAAAACCAACTCAAGGAAGACTTTACTTTAAGGTACTGCTAATGTGACAGAGGAAATAATTATTAAATACATTGAGAATAATCATATGGATTATTTTATTTGCTTTAATTTTAATTAAATTAAAAATGAAATTAAATCAAGTTATTATTATTATTATGCACCCTTAGGCATGCAGCCCAGCAAGTTATTTGAAAGCCAAGTTAAGATCTTTAATCCCAAAAAGTTTACATATCTTAGTTTAGAGCAATTATTTCTATTAATAAATAATAATTACTGGCTATTATTCTGTTTCTAGAATAATAGAATCTGAGCAAAAGAAAGCTGAGCAAAAGAAAACCAAAGTAGGTAGCAGCCTACTTAACCATGACTAGCCTTTACATTTGGTGTTAAATATGAACTGAGCTTCCAAAATTAAGAGATGTAACCTATGAATCTTTCATAAATTAGCTTCAGAGTACAAGCATGATAAAACAGATTAGACACTAGATCCAGTTAATCCTTAGCAAATATCTTAAATTCTTCAAAGTAAACGAGTGTCAGGAATTCAAAATAGAAAGTCTATTATATAAATACTTGAAAGATTACTTACCCATCATTGGAACATGTTAAAAACTCCTCTTTTATTTTTGGATGCCAACAGCCTGAATTAAGCATTGCTGTGTGTCCCTAGGATAAGGAACAGAAGGTATGGATATAATACACAATAAGGTATGTTTAATAGAACAATTTCTTTGCTCTCTTCCTTTCCAAATACTGCAACAAGCAAACATAATTATTATCAAATGCCCTTATAAACTTCATTGTAAATTGTAGAATAAGGAAGATAATCTTGCAACAGTCTATATACTCAAGCTTTGATATCTAAGCATAGTTACCTGTTCCACCTCTAGTTACATCTTCTTACTTTTTAAAATTCTATTCAGAATCTATATATATCATTTATACTCTGTAGCAACAAAAACTACTAGTGAAAAGGCGATGTAAATGCACAACTATTTTAACTAGTTCTTTTTAAAAAATTCATCAAAGATATGGATCTAAAAAGCAAATCTGAATTGAAGACTTGCTCTTTCCATTTTCCTCTAAGTTATACTTTCAAAATCCCTCTTATGGAACTAACAGATAAACACCTTATTCATTCCTATCTTTCCCTCCAGCTAGACATGGTGCTCTTTTACTATTCCTTCTGTGCTAGACCCATCATCCAGTGGCCCAATGGCCTCACAAGTTTGTCCTTTGCCCCAGGCAATTTAAAGTCAGATTTTCTTTCTTTCTTGGGTATCTTTTATCAACTGCTTGCATATCTTTTGCCAAAGTTTATGTTCCTTTTTGTTTTCCCCATTTGGGTAAGAGTTGCATGTTCTGAAAGAAGTCTTCTTGCTTTTAATAGTATCTGATCTTGCTCAGTCTGGTGTCCTTCTGAACATCTTGGAACTTTCCTGATCTGAGGGATACTTCGGAGCTGAACTTCTATTCTTGTAATTCTGAACTATCTCCAAACATTGTTAAGATAATTGATCCTATTAATTTTCCCTTTCAACTTTATTTTCAACAAACCTCTAATTTTTTGAGTCTGCTGTTCTACAGTCAAATGTGAGCGTGATAGACTTTACTGACAAGCACTACTTACATGCACATTGATGTTTATAGCATTATAATCACTGCTCTCAATTAGTTCAACCAATTCTAGGCCTTGGATAAGACTGTGGTTAATACCTAAGATTAAGGCCAATGTTAACAGTATTGTTGGCTTCCAGACTAGCAGTTTCAGTCGTTTAGAATATCTAGAAATGTGGTATCTTTGTCAAGTACAAAATATGCATTTTCTCAATCCATGTGAGTTCAACTGAAGTTGCCCATTACTGTTTCTTTCTCAGATGCTTCTCTAACTGTATTTTCTGTCTGTAGGTTCATTAGATGATATCCAAAGCTTTAAATCACCAAGATACAATCTGCCACTATAACTCTGTATGGAGTTGCACGAACATAGCAAGGTTGTGATGGGCTAGCTAGTGGACCTATATGGGCCACTGTTTGAGAATCAGTGCAATAAACCTATGCCTCAGTCAAAACAACATTACCTATTTGCTTTATTTTTATTTATAAATATGCTTTGTATTTTTCAATGAATGATACAATATTTCACAAGAACATGAGAAAAAATCCCTAACGTTACATTATTCAAGCTATACATTTATTTACTTACCTTAGTGTTTGCCATGTCTACAATATATTGGTCTCCTTTCACACACTCCATCACAGGAAAGCCATCTCTATCAAGGACCTTGGCTTGAGAATTACCCGCAACAACAAGAATGACATCTCCAGTGCTGCTATACTGCAAAGACTTTATCTGGTGACTGAAAAATTAGTGAACTGAAGTCAGATACTAACAATTAAACACAAAATGGCCAAATCCAGATTTACAAAATAATGAATGACAGAATAACTTATACTAAATATGAACAAACACAAAATGGCTAAGTCCAGATAATGAAATAATAATGAATGGCAGAATATGTTATGCTGCATCATTTTGGGGGTATATGAAATATCTCCAAGCCTAGTAACAATTGACAGATCCATTTTTAGTTGATGTATAGCAATTTCTGATCCGCTTTTTCCAATACAGGTAGTCCTTGTTTAGGGACTGCTTCATTTAGCAACCATTTGCAGTTATGACGGTGATGAAAAAGTAACTTTATGACCAATCCTCGTATTTACAACCTTCACAGGTCTGTAAAGCAAAGGAAAGCTCAAGTAAGATCATAAGCACAGTCATGGTTTCACTTAGCAACCACTTCACTTAACAACCAAGTTGCTGGTCCCAATTGTGCTCACTAAATGAGGACTACCTGTATGGGTATCTTTATCCTTCTCTTTCCTGCCATTTTCCAAAATTCACAAAATGGTGCTATCCATGTGATTCATCTGAATCTAGGTCATAAGCAACCAACTAAAATTCAATCTCTTACATCAGACTTTGCAATGTATTATCTCCTAGTATGCTGAACTACCACTATAACCCATCTGAAGGGTATCACTTTTTAAGTATTCTATAATGCCATCGTAAAACTATTTGCAATCTGAACAACTCCATTAAGATTTCAATGACTGTAGTTTTTGAGCACTTCTCATTTCTAGAAGTTTCTTGGTAAGCAAATAGATAAGCTTTGAGTTTTACAGTGTTAAATATGTGAGAAAGTAATAGCATAAGTTGAGTAGCCATTCTACTGTTATTCTCCCAAATATAGCTACATATCTTGAAGTCTTTTTATCTCAAAGGTGTGGGCCCATGTTAATTCTAGTAAGTTATTAATAAATTTGAGGGAAAGCATCATGACATACCATTCACATGGTTGCAGAGATCTAAAAGCCTGAAGTGATGCATCCATTCCGGCAAAATCCCAAAATTTAACATCATAGTCATAACCTCCAGTTATCAAACGTGCACCTGATGGATCCAATCCTAAAGCAGAGACCTATAAAGCAAGATGCACACATGAACTGTGAATGTTAACTTCAGTAACCACTTAATTTGCAAAGTATGTATGTATGTGTGTGTGTACACACACACACACACAAAATCAAAAATATATGTATATATGTGGTGTGTGTGTGCATGCACGTGTGTGTGTGTGAAATCAACTATGCACTGAACAGCATAATCCATTCAACGTCCCCATATCTGCATGGTTTGTTAATATTTGTAACTGTTACATCTCATGTTGTATGATGCAAGAACAGCTTTTTCTCCCTATTGCTTTAAGTAACTGTTCTCCCTCACCTTTTCTGAGGGTGAAGCTGCAAAACACTTTTACTTATGCCATCTTTCACAACTTGATTTTCTCTCTCTTCTATTCTCTTAAAAACCTGCTCTATGTCTGAAACTTTTCCTGAGCATTCTCCAGACTCTCGGGAGAAAGGGTGGAAATTCCCTGTACTGCAAATGTCCTTATATAAGTGCACATCACGTACAAGTTCTTATATCTGTATGAACAATGAACAATGGAAGAGAAAAGCAGCCATATACCTAAAGATAAAAAGAACATAAAAAATGATATATTCAAATAAAACTGACACCTGTCCCTTCGCAAAGTATAAAACTAATGGAAAGTACCTTCTAATGAACTAAATTATTTCCCAGTCATTACATTCCTGAGCCTCTACAGAATTAGCACTTACAAGTTTCTCACGCTAGACAAAATGACACAGATTTAGATTGGCTGTTTGGGGAAATTAAAAATTTGGTAGATTCTGATGAAGATTCTCCCTTGTCTCTATACCAAGACGGAATGGATTTTACTCCCGATTTTCAGTTTACTTCTGATTCAAGCCAACATTATTTTTGTTTTCTAAAAATAAATGAAAGCCCGAAGAGTCTTTCTATGACTAATTCCATCCTGGTGATTCATTGGTAGTCACACAGTGTCTCTGGAAATCAGACAATTATAAACGCATTGCACTACACTTTGCATCATGGAGGACACAATATATATATATATATATATATAGTTAAAGCAGCTGCCAACTTTGAGTACAGAAAAACTCTGGATATCTTGGCCAATTATGTAACACTGTCTACTGCTTACTTCATGTCAAAACTGTCAGGAGAAGATTTATCTCTACAGCCACTCTTGTTACGGGCAAGACAACTGGGAAATTACGTTTCTGGAAAGGATCTTCAATGTGGGAAATCCTTTCTGATATTTCTCAGCTGTACAGGAATACTGATATCAGCAGCTTAAATCCATTACTCTGAAGAGATACAGATGAGTCTTTGTGACCTGGCCTTACACTAAAACTGGAGAGGAGGCCAAGGGGAGCAGCAATTTCTTAATAGCTTGCCGTTGGGCACCAGGTCATAGAAATGTGGGAAGAGGTTGGGGGCACAGATGGGGGCCATATTAAACATGGCTTAGCTATCAAGAACATTGTGAAGGGCTGGTCTTGTCTAAACAAGACTGGCTGTAATATTATTTCACAGGTAGAAGGTATTTTGTGAATATATTTAGTAAAATTAATCCACAGCTCAAAATTGTACAAGGGTATAAAACTCTCTCCCGCACAAGAAATAAATGCTGTTTTATTAGTTTGATATTTAGCAATCTCCTTGTTTGACTATCCATGGTCTACATATGCTATCCTGAAGTGACACAGAAACAACTACTTTAAAACCTAATCTCAAGCTGCTCAGGGTAGACCAACAATGTTAGTTATTTTCCTTCCTGATCATGAAGTCTTTCCCTTTGTGTTTAAAATCTCTCTAATGCTCTGATCTGTCCTGTTTTTCAATCTTTCTTTCTTTATCTGGGACCTTTCTCCTCCAACTTGATGACCTTGGTTCACAATCTCTTATATTCCCATTCATCTTGCCATATCTACCATTGAATTCAGGCTGTAATGGTTGATAATCTCATTGCCTTAAGTATAAGTTAGCATAAGTGGATGTGAAATGGACATCATGGCGAACCTGGGATTATGCCAACACTTAGATATTTTTCACCTCCTTTCTTACAAACATAATTATAAGGTTGGAGGTAGCCAATTACATCAAAGTAACAATATTATCAATTTCAGATGTAAAAACAAAAACCTAAGTTAAAATCAATGTAAATAATTCAGGTCATTTTTAATAAATAAATTAGATATATCTTTTTGAACATAGCAAAGGAATCTCTCATTCTGAGTGAAGGAAGCTCAAGATCTTTAAGGTTCGAACCTTTTAGTTCAAGGAGATGTGTGATTTTTTTAAAAATAAAGCTTGTCTAGAAGTGGCTCAGATCCACATATGCTTTCACAAAATCTGAATGTAGATAATTCATACATTCCTCAAGCCTCATGGGACTGCAGTATGATAGGCCAGCTCCCAACATCAGAGATATGTGAATCCTCACACAGTTTTTGCTGAAGAGAAGCTTTATTTCATGAAATCATATAATCAGAAGATTTGCAGACTCAAAGAGTATCTTAATTTAATCTAATTCAGTGACAACTTGAAAGAAGAAATCCACAGCTATAGTATCTAGCAGATAAATGAAGACACCACAACCTCTTTAAGGAGCTAGTTGCATTATTAAGTATTTTTTTCATATAAAAGTTGTTCTTAAGACTCTTAACTGTTCAACTGAAATGCACACAAATGAAGTCTAGGATTTAGCCCTTTTCTCTTAAATTAGCCAGTTAACAGGATTCCTATTAATTTCTACTCTATGATCAAATCTGGATTCAGTTCCTTCAACTCTCTTCACAGGACTTGTTTTATTCTCCGGTTCAACATATTCTATCCTAAACCTATTTCAACTATTTTAATTGTATTAGAGGGATCTAGGAAAGTAAGATATCAAGATGCTTACTGTTTTTGTGCCATGGTGCAGCGTAATTTCATGTGAATCAGGAATCTTCTTCACAGGATCCTAACAAAAATAATATTGTTCAGAAAAATATTTAAGTATGTATATAACATTTATTGTTCCAGCATAATAAAAACCAGAATAACTCTAGAAATGGGAGGAGAGAAGAATCACAGCAAGACAAATTCTCTTCCATGCCTAAGAAGCAAGCTCCACAGATTTCAGCTGGGCTTAGCCTCGATATTAAATTACTTCTCTAAATTGCCTCTAAAGGTTTCATATTTTTACATTCTCCTGCAATAACAAATAAAGGTTTTATTTTGTACGATGTTTGTAAATAGCAACAATGAACTTTGACCATCATGGAAGTGCCTGGTGTATCTGGGCTAGTAAGAAAAGATATCATACAAGAGAATTCCTAAACTGGAAAATTAAAATCAATTTAGCTAGGAGGACTGAACCTCTAGCTTTCTGCTACCAGAAAAAACTTGAAATTTTAAAACCTGGAAGTGAAAATATACACATATAATTACATGTATGATTTGCAACATTAAAAGATACTGACCATATATAACAGATGAGTTATAAACATCATATACTTTTAGAAAAAGAAGATGATTGCATAATGGCTGTTAAATAAACTATGACTCTTCATTAGTCATTACAGTATATTATATGGGACTTTACATACTTTTCCCACAGAAGAATTCATCAGTCTGAGAAATGGAGATTTGTTAATAGGCTAATCTTTATTCTCTTTAACAGAGATTTACAAGCATCAAAAAAATTGAATACACTGAGTAAACATTTTCAATACAATATTAGTTTATTTGTACATAAATATCTGTCATCTTAAAACTGTAGATCTTTGTTAAATTCAAATGAATATATAAGGATCAACAAGAGTAATGTGCATAGTATGAAACATAAAACAAGTGAAAAATTACACTAATTTCTATCTAATCAACAAGAAATCTATCCTTATGTTAAGAGAACCCTAAAACTCAAAAAATGGTTTCCATGTTAAATTAAATTCTGTTAGATAATGACCTCTAATAAAACGTTATTTTAGACATCGATGCATACTCCCACTACCAAATTTGCCGTTTTTCTACCAGAGGAATTGCACTTGTCTTCCAATTAGAAGCATAGAGTATTTTTGTAGCTGTTACCATATATAAAGGTAGTTTGGTGTACTTTGCAAGAATATAAGATGTAGTCATATTTAATGAAATATGGCAGATTGGAAAAGAAATTCAACTTTCATAATCTGTTTCATTTTATTATAAATTGTTTTCCAAAACTGTTAGGCATTACAACATTGCCACCCAGTATGAAATAATGATCTGACCTGATTGTTGCATTTCCAGCAATTTTTAGAAAATAAACTATCAATTTTAGCAATCAGTACTGGGGTAATATACAATTGATAAAACATGCTATGCCAGTTTTCTCTAAGTGTGATATTCTCTGTAAATTTAATATTTTTCTTCCATCGAAAGTCCCATATCAATTGTTCTGTCTAAATTCTGCATCAAGTTAATCATACAATTTTTGTTTGGTTTCTGACTCATATTTCACTAGCAACTTAAAAATACAGCACTTTTTTTGCTGTAAGTTTTTCAAGTTCAGTCAATTCTCTAAGCGTTCTATCTTGTTTTTGCAATTCCTTTAGACCTATGCTGCTTATTTGAAGACAGATACATAAAGGTACTAGCCCAAAAGTATCTTCCCGCGTCCATTTTACCATTCTTGGCTCACTATACCCCCAAGTCAGTCCTAGGGGTCAGGAAAACTTCTGGAGCAATGTAAGATGGGACATGGGAAGTTGAAATAACAAGGGACTAAAGTTGCTTAAAGAACCTCTAATTGGTTCTTCCTTTCAATGCAGCTAATTATACTGCGAGAAAGAGTTTTTAGAAGGTATTCCTGCTATGCTATGTCCTGCAGCGTGAGCTGAGCTTAATCTAAGTCCCAATAATTGATAAAGAGATAACAAAAAGAACAGCGTATTGTATTATGTTTTCATGGAGTTGTTTCTATTTTATTCTAGAGCAGTGTTTCTCAACCTCAACAACTTTAAGCTGTGTGGACTTCAACTCCCAGAATTCCCCAGCCAGCTGAGTTGCTAAGGTTGAGAAAGACTGCTCTAGACTAAAGTTTGGAAAAACACAGTCAACTAGAAAACCAAATAAATATGTGAGCCATAACACCTTTAATTTAAAGTGGTAGTTTAGCCCACCAATTTGTCCATCTTCAGAACAGTGACTATGGGATGTAATTATTTGCAAATGGGTGATTAGCACCAGGAAGATCCATATATTTTAATGCCAGGAACAACTCAGGATGTGGAGGCCTACTGGACCAGGAGAAAAGGTAAGAGGCAAACAGAAGGATCATGGGGAGTTCTGGCAGATTCAGAGGGAGATTAGACAGAGCAAAGCATCTTTCACCAAGCTGCCAATAGCTTAGAGCAATTTAAGCTGAACAGCTTGTGAGCAAGGTCACGAGCTGGATCATGATGAAATTACCAAGTAGCACCTGCATTTGCTACCTGCGCAGTGTTAAAAAAATGCGCAGATTCACCCTTTGGAGTTCCAAATCCAAATTGCTGGAAGTATTTTTTGGAGAGAGATAGCTGTTCAACCCAAGGGATTCTAGAGCCTTAAAACTGTTTAACCAAAACAAAATTAAGATAACAACCTCAAGGGACTAGTCTTGGCATAACATCTCTTTAAAACAGCCAAATATTTATGAAAAATCAATGTGACCCCATTCCATTTTAGTAACTCTAAAAGTCCTAAATTGTAGAATATACTATAAATATCTCAAACCCACCCAAAAAATTGCCTATATATGAACACAAATTCACTTACAAGTTCAGATGTGCCCAGTGGTTTCATTCCAAAAAAAAAAAAATTAGGAACATCAGAGAAGAATACTTGAGGCTCCCAAAGAAAACATTTAAATAGTATATTATAAGAAGTGATGTATCCTGTGACAGAAGGCACTCTACACAATTCTGAGTGTTACCATAAGCCTCATTAATTTCAGTAAGACACACTACCTTAGCCCTTCACTCATTCCTGATGTTGGCAGTTGCTTATGTAGCCAAAAGGCAAACAATGTAGGTATAAACAAGCTTGTCAAAGTCTCAAGATTTGCAAATGAATAAAAGATTGGAGGAGGAGGGACATTTAAAAAAATGTTAGAAATCTACCCAAATGGTCTAATCTAAACTGAACAACTCAACACCATGGATTACTAGAAGATCCACCTTGTTATAGCAATGATGAACAATAACATATTTTATATATTTTATAGATAAGCAGTAAAATACAATTTAAGAGATCTATCTTGTAACAGTAAAACAGTGTTGCAATGTATCTGATGTCCATGACATAACTATTTTGCCCCAACATCCTCTTCAGATGATCTGTAGACGGAAGGAGGACAGGAGGAAGAGCCGCTACCAAGGCAAGGCTCTTGACTTGAGCCTGGAGCAAGAAAACAATGTGAGAAAACATCTCAGACAAGCTCTTCCCTAGTTCATATGAAGATAGTGAGGAAGGGGGGAGCACGTTCATACTTCCAAGATTCTGTTACTATACCTGTTACAATAAAAGTAGTCCTGCCTATCCCAGCTCCATCCTGGGGATTGGGGGTGGGGGTGAAGGCAACTTCCAGAACAGGAAGTTGAAGAACAGATTTCACAGCAGGAGAAAAAAAGGGGAGGGGGAGTCACCTCTCAGGGAACAGCTGCACTACAGGACTTGTTGAGTGATATTGGGGAGTTACCAGCAGGGTAAGGGAGCAGCACATCTGTACTTCCTTCCCATGGCCCAGATTCAGATTTCTCTGGGAACACAGGAGGGGTGACAGAGGCTGATGGGGGAGGTGATATACAGGACACAAGGAACGGCCTTGAAGGACAGGAGCAAGAGCCACTACTAAAACAACAGTCAGATAAGAGGTGCTTGAGCCCGGGCAAAGAAAATAATATAAGAAAATATCTCAAACAGGTCCCTCACTGGTTCACATGAAAATAAAGTGAGGGAGGGGGAAGCACATTCAGACTTGCAAGATTCTGTTACTATATGTGTTACAATAAAAGTAGTCCCTGACCTATATGGCATTTGTTTTTTAGTCTGGTCTACCTTGTTGGGCTGACATGATCCCACAGAACAGATGTGATAATCCTGCTTTATTTGCGGAACAAAATCAAATAATGTTATCTCTCTCTTCTATGGATCCAGCTGCATCAGACCTCTGCAAGCACATACTGTATCTAACATTCTGACTTTTTAAACTGTAGTTTCCATATGCTACTTTTTGCTTAATTTGGACATAGCAGCAAACCTAGTCTGTCACGAATAAGAAACAGAGATTTTATATATCTTCTCCTCATTCAGTGCAGAGGATGAGAAGCAGAAACCAGGAGCTCAATTTAGCTTAGTTTGTTGTTATGCATGATCCATGGCAATACATTATCATCAATACAGCTCACCTTCTACCCAGTCACTGACTGATAATTCTCCTACCCCACTTTTAAAACCCTTTTTATGAATCTCCCAAAGATATTTTACTCAGTAATGAAAACTAATAAACATAACAGACTAAAATGTGATGTGGCTCTGTTTAGCAAAATAACTATAACTCAACTTCTAAACACAAACCCATCCATACTTCAGACCATACTATGCAAAAAGAGAGACTATGAGGAGTCTATACAACTATCATATAAAAGATAATATAACTCAAGAAAAAAATTCATACTAAAAGAAATAAGACAACCCCCCCCCCATGCTAAACTATCTAACGAGGGAGAACAAAAAAGAAAGAAAAAAATGTAATAAAAAAGAAAAAACTTTTTAAAAAACAACTAAACAACTGAACAAAAGTAAAACACACATACACATTATATATTACATTAAAAAAAACCATGTAAAGAAAACTATCAGGCTATTGATATAATTTTTTTCAGTTTCGTCGATATAATTCAATTTTTGACTGATAAATCAAACCTAGACCATATGAAATATCATCTGGGGGATTGTTGTTTT